GCTGCCTCCTCTGCGGCTCCTTTTGCTGCTGCTTCCCCCCCCTGCTCCCACCGCTTCCCCCCCCCCCTCTTGCCCGGCCGCTTGCACTTGCAGCAACCAAGCCAGCCGAGTCATTTGCACCAGAAAACAACTTCAAGAAGTGCCGGGCAGCATTTCGGTCAACACCCGTTACCTCAATTTACAAGAGAACCACATCCAAATCATCCGCACCGACACCTTCAAGCACCTGCGGCACCTGGAGATCCTGCAGCTCAGCCGCAATCTGCTGCGCCAGGTGGAGGTGGGGGCTTTCAACGGCCTCCCCAACCTCAACACCTTGGAGCTGTTCGACAACCGCTTGACCACGGTCCCCACGCAGGCCTTCGAGTATTTATCCAAGCTGCGGGAGCTGTGGTTGAGGAACAACCCGATCGAAAGCATCCCTTCGTACGCCTTCAACCGCGTGCCGTCGCTGCGCCGCTTGGACCTGGGCGAGCTGAAGCGGTTGGAGTACATCTCCGAGGCGGCTTTCGAAGGCCTGGTCAATTTGAGGTACTTGAATTTGGGGATGTGTAACCTGAAGGAGATCCCCAACTTGACGGCGTTGGTCAGGTTGGAAGAGCTGGAATTGTCGGGGAATCGCTTGGGCCGAGTGAAGCCGGGTTCGTTCCAAGGCTTGAGCAGCTTGAGGAAGCTGTGGCTGATGCACGCCCGCGTGGCGGCGGTGGAGCGCAACGCCTTCGACGACCTGAAAGCCCTGGAGGAGCTGAATTTGGCTCACAACGAGCTCAGCTCGTTACCCCACGACCTCTTCGCCCCTTTGCACCGCCTGGAGCGCGTCCACCTCCATCACAACCCGTGGCGTTGCGACTGCGACGTGCTTTGGTTGGCTTGGTGGCTGAGGGAGACGGTGCCGAGCAACACCAGCTGCTGCGCTCGCTGCCACGCTCCCCCTGCGTTGAGGGGCAGGTATTTAGGCGAGTTGGAGCCGGGCCATTTCACTTGTTACGCTCCGGTGATCGTAGAGCCGCCGGCGGATCTGAACGTCACCGAAGGGATGGCGGCCGAACTGAAATGCCGCACGGGGACGGCGATGACGTCGGTGAATTGGTTGACCCCCAACGGCACCCTGATGACGCACGGTTCGTACCGGGTCCGCATTTCGGTGCTGCACGACGGCACCCTCAATTTTACCAACGTGACGGTGCAGGATACGGGCCAATATACCTGCATGGTGACCAACGCGGCAGGGAACACCACGGCTTCGGCCACGCTCAACGTGTCGGCTGTCGACGCCGCCGCCGCCGCCGCCGCCGCCGCCGCCGCCGCCACGGGTTACACCTATTTCACCACCGTCACCGTGGAGACCACGGATGGAGGGGGAGGAGGAGGAGGTGGGTTGGGGGAGATGGTTTTGCTTTGGGGGGGGGGTTGTGTCTAGAGGAGGGGATTGGGTTTGCAGGGGTGATGCTGGGCGTCCTGAGAGCGGGGGGGGGGGTGCGGAAAGGAGCGGTGCAGGTTTGGGCCCTCGTTGGGGGTCCTGAGGGTGCAGCATTGCAGCTTTGAACGCCATAGAGAGCCATAAGAAAGCAGCATTGCAGCTTTGATCCCCATTGGGGGTCCTGAGAATGCAGCAATGCAGCTTTGAACCCCATAGAGAGCCATAAGAAAGCAGCACTGCAGCTTTGATCGCCATAGAGAGCCATAAGAAAGCAGCATTGCAGCTTTGAACCCCATAGGGAGCCCTGAGGATGCAGCAATGCAGCTTTGAACGCCATAGAGAGCCATAAGAAAGCAGCACTGCAGCTTTGATCCCCATTGGGGGTCCTGAGGATGCAGCAATGCTGCTTTGAACCCCATAGAGAGCCATAAGAAAGCAGCACTGCAGCTTTGATCCCCACTGGGGGTCCTGAGGATGCAGCATTGCAGCTTTGAACCCCATAGAGAGCCATAAGAAAGCAGCACTGCAGCTTTGATCCCCATTGGGGGTCCTGAGGATGCAGCACTGCAGCTTTGAACCCCATAGAGAGCCATAAGAAAGCAGCGCTGCAGCTTTGGTCCCCACTGGGGGTCCTGAGGATGCAGCAATGGCAGCTTTGAACCCCATAGAGAGCCATAAGAAAGCAGCACTGCAGCTTTAATCCCCATTGGGGGTCCTGAGGATGCAGCAATGGCAGCTTTGAACCCCATAGAGAGCCATAAGAAAGCAGCACTGCAGCTTTGATCCCCATTGGGGGTCCTGAGAATGCAGCATTGCAGCTTTGAACGCCATAGGGAGCCCTGAGGATGCAGCAATGGCAGCTTTGAACCCCATAGAGAGGCTCAAAAGAGCAGCATTGCAGCTTTGATACCCATGGAGAGGCATAAGAAAGCAGCCTTGCAGCTTTGGTCCCCCATTGGGAGTCCTGAGGGTGCAGCATTGCAGCTTTGAACCCCATAGAGAGCCATAAGAAAGCAGCACTGCAGCTTTGATCCCCACTGGGGGTCCTGAGGATGCAGCAATGGCAGCTTTGAACCCCATAGAGAGCCATAAGAAAGCAGCCTTGCAGCTTTGATCCCCACTGGGGGTCCTGAGGATGCAGCATTGCAGCTTTGAACCCCATAGAGAGCCATAAGAAAGCAGCACTGCAGCTTTGATCCCCATTGGGGGTCCTGAGGATGCAGCAATGCAGCTTTGATCCCCATTTGGAGCCATGAGAAAGAAGTGCTGCAGCTTTGATCCCCATTGGGGGTCCTGAGGATGCAGCAATGGCAGCTTTGAACCCCATAGAGAGGCTCAAAAGAGCAGCATTGCAGCTTTGATACCCATGGAGAGGCATAAGAAAGCAGCGTTGCAGCTTTGGTCCCCCATTGGGAGTCCTGAGGGTGCAGCATTGCAGCTTTGAACCCCATAGAGAGGCTCAAAAGAGCAGCGTTGCAGCTTTGAACCCCATAGGGAGCCCTGAGGATGCAGCAATGCAGCTTTGAACCCCATGAGAGCCCTAAGAAAGCAGCGTTGCAGCTTTGATCCCCATTGGGAGCCCTGAGAAAGCAGCGTTGCAGCTCTTGTCCCCATAGAGAGCCATAAGAAAGCAGCATTGCAGCTTT